TGTAAGAATAATTACGACACCATTTCTTCATGGACAGGCATCCACACAGTGCTCTGTCGCACATCTAATCGCTGTAATTTTGTAAATATTGCCTCCGGCAACAACCTTCACTATATGCCCCTCCTGCATTAGTGCCTTGAATGGATGGCTTATGCCGTAGCGCACCACTACGTTTGTTGAAGCACCAACACAATCTCCATCATTATGCTTTACAGTGTACGATCCACGAAATTGAATGCGTACAAGCTTATTCATACAATGCTTGCTTTTCTTATTCATCATCCCTAAAGCTTTCTTATCAGTTCTACTTGTTTGCCGACTCGAATCGTGGCCCAAAATCTTTTCCGCAAGAACGCATCCCACAACCAACAACATGATCCTGCTCAAACGCGAAATATTACGGGCTGCAAGTTTGGCCCCTAAGTTTATCCGTCCCAAGAAGCCTTCTCCTCATTCTTAGGTCGACAAAACACAAAATAAATGGTGATCACCTATACACACACACTTATGGGTAGGATACTAGATAATACATGCATATAATGATATAATTAGTGCACTCTTCAGTAACTAAAGCCATATGTCTAGATGTTAACTACCTTGTCGTGTCCTATGGGGAGGGGAGCAATCTCCATGCATGACACCAAGGCTTGCATGATAATAGTATTAGTGCCCCCTTTATACATAGTGGTGTAAAAGCTTGAACAAAAAATTTGACATTAATCTCACCATACTGACTATTTTAACTCAAAGTCGATAAAGTTTCTTAGAAGTGGCCTAATTTAATTAGAAATGCTCATGATCCATTTACTCCTTGGATGGTCCATTTATTATATCTTGGCCGATTCCTTTAGTTGGACCATTTACCTTTCAGTCCAAGTTGGAGGAAACCTAATGGAATGACTATATATATCCACCTTCATACCATTGCACAAACCTTGTGTGTGCTTTGCCTTTCTGAGAGAAAACTGTGGCTGCCTCGTCGTTGTTCTTCTTCGTGCCTGGCTTCTATTGTCTTTTTCTTTGCCTTTGTGGCTTGCAAACCACCACCATACTTGTGTTCCTTTGTGGATATATGAAATTGGGCAATCAGAGTAACACAGTTGTTGGTTGTTGAGCTTGTAGTTGTGTGTGTTTTGGAATAAAATACTGCCAACTGAGCTTGGATTCCACAAATTGAATAAACAATTATTGTCATTTCTTATTTTACTATATTGCATGCTTTGGCGTGGGAGTAAAAGAGGTACTAGTGGATGCATCCTTAGGGTTTCCTTTACCACCAATTTTAAGTATGTCAACTTTTTCAGATCAACTGAATCCACTCTTTCTTTCATTCCAACGCTGCCTCTGCTTTCTATTTGAACTTTCTGCATTCAGGATTTTTAACAAGCTCAGACATTGCCCACACCAAGGTGATTGCACTAGTATCCACACCCCCTGGAAATGTGTTCTGAAAGTAAAAAAGAAAACATCTGTTTATACGTTCAGAACCATGTTAAAGAGGCTAAAATATAAAGAAGATTGTCAACTGAAAACAATTGAAGTTATATTATCTTTCAAAGCATATTTGGCATGCACTAATAGATAGAATTTGGAAACCACAGGTCTAGAACCATCCAAAATTCACTACCAAACTGTCAGCGAATGGGGCGACTTTTACCGTGAGAATGGCCTCGATGTTGTCTTTGCTGATATAAACTCCAGTAGGTTCTTTTGAC